TGTGTGTGTGTGTGTGTGTGTGTGTGTGTGTGTGTGTGTGTGTGTGTATGCATGTTTGTATACAAACACTGTGATGGTGAAAACTTTGCATCCTGACATCATTCCTCCAGTGCTCAGGTCTTCTGTGGTGAGAAGAGCCAGCTCTCAGGCAGCATATTAGAATCGAGAGCCTAGTTGCAAACCATGATTGCCAGTGAGCTGCTGTAGCACTATTTTCAATTCTTTCAATTATGAAAATTCCTAAAGATTTCCTCAAGGTTAATTAAATACAGGGTAAGTGTAAGGAGAAAGCACATAGGAAAAGCAGTTTGATAATGTCTTCTAGAAGTTGAGAGCCTGTACTCAGAGGACTTTTCCACAGCCTGGAGTCCCGGCTGGCTGGAGAGAGTTTCTGGGATTTGGTTTTGTTTGTGTTTCTCCTTTAGCCTCTGTTCGCTCCTTTGTGTGTGATGACCCTGGTCTTGGGAAGAACCGTGAAACCAGCTGTCATGTGAACAGATATTTATCCTCAGGGTGCAGGTTACAAGTTATTTCTGAATCACTTCACAAATACATAGTGTAGTTGACTCCATGGACAGTTCTTTGAAGACCCCCTCTCTTGGGGTTCTTTCAGATATTATATTACTGTTACTGTAAGTCCCTGTAAATACAAAGCCTGTTTTTCCAGAACATGACTGTTAACTTTTTAAGATGTTATAGTTTGAAAAGTGGGGTGAGGATTTCCTATAGGTGTGGATTTATATTCTGTAGTATTAGCACTAGTTTTCATATAGTAGTAGAGGTTCAGTTATGGGTACTAACTACAGAAGTCACCTCTCACTGCTAGGTGGATCTTCATCCTACTTCTAGTCAACCTCTTGGATATTCCCTGGGCTTGGGTTCTCTCTATCCCTCCCCTTCCCCCTCCCCCTCCCCCTCCCCTTCCCCCTCTATCTCTCCCTCTCCTTCCCCTTCCCCCACTTCCTCTTCCTCTCCCTCCTTCTCTCCTCTCTCACCTTCCCTGTATCCTCCCCCCCTTTCTCTCCCTTCTCTCTTTATCCCTCCTTTTCTGGCTCCCTCCTTCCCTGTCTCCTTCCACTTACCCCTTGAGTTTCACCAAAAAATTAAATAAATAAATAAATAAATAAATAAATAATAAAAGTTTCCTCTAATTTTTTATTTTTGTCTCATGGTTTAATTTTTCTTCTGAGGCGAGATTCTTTAAGGTCTAAGCTCCATTGTATGTATAAGTGTGGCTATGCTTATATCCTCAAAGATTATTTCATGTTTCAACAAAACTGCTGTTTGAACCAACTCTTTGCAATAAATATTTAAAAATATGATACAAACTTGAAGTTGTTACTTCTGGCGATTAACACTGTTCTCATCTGTTTTTTTGAGAGTCTGGGGACCTAGCTGGTTCTTAGTGATAAACACTGTCTTTAACTTGTCATCTGTCTGGCAAGAGCATTACAGATGACCTTTTGTAGAATAATCTTTTGAAAGAATCTCTAGATAAGGGTGCTGTATGATCCTCTCCTTGTGATTATGACTTTGGCACTTTGGGTGAGGAAGCACATGTTTATACATATGACATTAAACTTATCTGTAAGTTCCAAGATTTGCAAGAGCTTACTTTAAAAATGAGAGCCTTTGTTTACACGGGTCTCATTTGCAGTGTCCTATTGAAGAACACAGAAGACATATACTCTTTATATTGTCAAGCAGTTATAATGACAAGATAGGAAGTACATTTGCATTTGTCATTTGATAATAAAATTCTAGGCACCTACATGATACATGCATACGCGCGCGAATACACACACACACACACACACACATACACACACACAAAATGAGCATGCACACACAAAATGAGCACTTATACATATTACATTTTTAAAACAAAAATCCTTTTCATTGTACAGAATTTTTCATAAAATATCATTCTGATCTTAGACAATATAGTCTAAGTCACAGGAAGATTGCAAATGTACATGTTAAGATTATTTGATACCTAGAGGCACACAGAAAATAATCAATCTAGGATAGCCAAGTTTACAATAAATCACACAGCCCAGATTGGAGGACTTCCACCAGGCTGACCCTTCAGAAATGGGGCTCATTTCGTCATCCTCATTCGGCAGTGTAAGGAGTTGGATGTCTATGACACTGTGGGATCCAGAATGTTGTGAATGGAACAGTCTAAGCATGGGACAGTCCGGGGCTGACAAGACCATTCTCTGATGCATGAGAAACACCCAGAAAATATGTAGTTCCCTGGAAAAGAAGTTGAACTCCTGAAAGGAAAGGCAGAAAAGGAATAAAGTGTTCTACAAGCTGGGCTAACAGGGATGACAGACAGTGGGGTAGCCGCCCCCCCCCACACACACACCCCTGACTTCCATGAGAATAACAGGAAGGAACTTCATAGAGGTAGGAAGCAAGGACAGTGATACAAAGTCAGTGGAAGGAAGTGTAATGCGTATAAGGATAAAGGCATGTGCCTCCGAACTGAATACCAGCTTGAGACCAGTTCTGGTATGAAGTTTTCTCAGTTCTTTATGTAGGAAAGTGCTTTCAAAGTAGAGATAGCACCAGACTTAACATAATCAGTGATGCAGATTTTAAAAATGTAAAGCCCTAATATTTCTGGTGGAATTCTGATGTGTAGGTGACAGCCATGGAAGAGGCTGAGCCCCGAGGCCAGCCAGACCCTTGGATGAGTGAGGGGAGATTTACTGGATCTTTTGTGATGCAGTCTGTCTAAACACCTGGCAGTCTGTTGTTTCCACCGTTCACAAACAGATCTTTGAGCTTCATTAGAAACATACAATATTTATTTTCAGCTAGATGATTGTGGTGTACAGCACTCTCTTGGTTAGTGACAGCCAATTTCTTGTCTGATGAAATGAGTGGGGTTGAATGTGGAATTCAGAATCACATGTTAGATTTCATCCTCCAACAACTGCTTTTGGGAAACAATCACATTAGGTTCATAGATTCACAGAAATGAGTCTCAGCACTTGTATGCCTTTGGCTGTTTGCATGCTTGCGTAATTTTGGTCTCCTAATTAGGAAGAACTATACAGAATTTCATGTATGTTATTAAGAATAAGCTTAACTCTCAAGACACAGTTTAGAGCCGATTACAGGATGATCAAATGCTAAGCAAATGATGTTTATTTGCTAAAAAATATATTTCAAAAAATTCAAGGTTTCTTCTAGTTATAGGAAAGAAATTTCCCTGGTCAGTGCCTCCACTACTGAGGTCACCTACCCAGTTGTCTCTCAATATTCACGGAAGCTCTACTGCAAATGCCACATGTAGTTTATAAAAATGAATAAGAAATAAAGGACTAGTCTAAAACAGACACAATAAAGCATTAATTCTTCACGAAATAGAACTACACTTGCAGATATCCAAAAAATTGTTCATTAAACCAAAACAAATTAAAAAAAACACTCTTAACTTTTCAGACAGGAGATATCTTCTTTATGAAATCTTTATTATGTATGTGTATGTATGTATGTATGTATGTATGTATGTATGTATGTATGTATGTATTTGCACTCCAGAACCATTCCTCTCCCAATCTCCTTTCTGACCATTCCACTTCCCATACCTCCTCCCTGCCCCTTGTCTCCACGAGGATGTCTCCACCACCCACTCCCCTCCCCATCAGACCTTCAAACACGCTGAAGCCTCCATTCTCTTGAGAGTTAGGTACATCTTCTCTGAATGGACATAGACCCGGCAGTTCTCTGCTGTATATGTGTTGGGGGCCTCATATCAGTTGGTGTATGCTGCCTGGTTGATGATTCAGTGTCTGAGAGATCTTGGGGGTCCACGTTAATTGAGACTGTTGGTCCTCCTATAGGTTTGCCTGTCTCCTCTAACCTTTCCCCAATTCAACCACAGGGATCAGCAGCTTCTGTCCATTGGTTGAGTACAAGTATCTTCATCTGACTCTCTCAACTGCTTTTTGGCTCTTTCGGAGGACAGTCATGATAGGTCCCTTTTTGTGAGTGCTCCATAGCCTCAGTAATAGTGTCAGGCCTTGGGACCTCCCCTTAAGCTGGATCCCACTTTAGGCCTGTCATTGGACCTTTTTTTCTCAGGCTCCTTGACAGGAGAAATATTTAAGCTGCTGTCCATCAATAACAATTCATGAAGCTAATAGGTAAAATGCTGGTCCCATTTTGAAACATACTAATTTGATGAAGTTAGAAAGAAATTGCTTAATCCCTTCAAGTTATTGTCCTACCAGAGAATGAGTGGCCTGAGTAATAGATTTTATGCTTTTTACAATAAAAACTCTGTTGTCTGTATGATATTACGTTATTTCTTTATAGTGTATGTATGTATGTATGTATGTATGTTGCATATATATATATTTTTTCTTCTGTATGCACATATTGTATGCACATGCATGTGGAGGCTCATAGCTACATCCATCTTCCTTTGTCATTTACTCACCTGATGTTTCGAGTGAGTGAGTAAGTGAGTGGTATGAATATATATCTGTGTACCATGTACTTGCCTGTTGCCTGCGGAGTCCAGAAGAGAACATCAGATCCCCTGGAACTGGAGTTAAAGACAATTGTGAGCCATCCTGTGGGTGGGAAGTCCTATTCTGAGTTGTGTAACACTTCTATCAAATGCTTTTCTAAGACCCAGAGCTCATGGATTTGCTAGGCTAGGACTGTCTTGTGATCTGTCAACAGTGCTGGGATTCCAGATGCACACAGCTGTGTCTAGCTATGATATGGGTGCTGGGAATATGAGCTCAGGTCTTCTTACATGTGCAGCCAGCACGTTAGCAGCTGAGCCATCTTCTGCATGAAAATTCTCTTTGAGATATTTAGTACCACACAGAGATGTCGTGTGAGTTGTCCTATCAATGTATTGCTCTCTTTTTTCAAGTTTGAAACATGCTTTCATATCCGTATCAGTAGATATTTGGGTATATTGACATTCCTGTTCAAGTGTGTTTATAATGTTTTGATTATGAAATTATTGTTGGCTTATTGTTAAACTAAAGTTGATGCCACAAACTATTATTTCCACATCATCCTTTTGTTCTTATCAAGTATGAACATAATAGTTATTATTACCGAAAACAAAAAAGCAGCTTAGTTCACATTAAAGAAACACCTTTCATTTTACACACTTTTAAGTGTAATTTTGACAAAAAATCATTAGATTTTTAGTATCATGTCTGCTCAGTCAAACAAAGATTTTGGTGAAGAATACTTTCAAATGCTCAACATTCTAATTGGCATTCGTAGCTGTGGATGCATGTATTCATCAGGTAAAAGACATTTTTTTATGTTAAAGGATTTCATTGAACTTTATAATGATACATATCTCTTAAGAAAATTCTCTTCTCTAGCAAAGTTCAAAAAATTTTGTCATGTTCTGTTACACGGTCCTCAGTCAAAAGCCCATGATAAAATCATTTCATTTAAAGATGTGTTTTATCAGGATGTAACTGCAGTGTGTTGAATCTAATGAGGGGAGACTCAGGAAAGAAAATCTGAACTAACATGGCATTCATTTTTAGAGTGAAATTTTAATGCTATAAAATTGGATTTTTTACAATAGATGGATGAGAGCATCCATATATCTCAGAGGTGATCTTGCAATCTGGTGATAGATGGGATACCCATGGCCTTTGCAGGTTTGCATTTTAAATCCTCGCCTCTGTTTAATATATATATAACAGAGAAACTATGCAGTGGATCTGGGCTCATTTAGCTATGACTACTAAAGGTGCATCTCACCCATCTTTCCCGAGTATCTGTCTCCCATCTAAAGATGAATTAATAAGAGCTAATGAAAGACATTCAGGATAAAAATACTCAATGGTTACTTAAACCTTCCTAGGTCTGAGGTCTTGTATGCCTTTGCAAAGTTACCCTTCCTTTTCTCCCACCATTTAAGTTGCTCCAGCTCAGTACTATATGAGAGGCAAGGAACAGTTGTCCAGGCGCCTCCATCAGCATTACGGCTGCATTTGTAAAACAAAGCTCCTGATCCCCACTGATGAAACGTTGACTCTTGAGTTTTTTACAAACCAAAAGTAGATTTGAAATTTCCATACATGTGGAAAGCCAGAACAATTGGCTCCTTATCTAAAATGGCTCTGAAGCTTGGCCTGGACACAACACAGGCCAGCACGGGTCTACTCACACCCTGTGGCATTGGAAATTGAAGACGGCCCTGGTAGCCCTAAGGGGATGTCTGTTTGAAGGAGTCTAAAATGGGAATTGTGTCCATGTGGTTTCTTCCTCTAGCCAACCCATATTCTTGCGATATATTCTAATCATTCCTGGGAAATTGAGCTAGTTGTTGATGTGATTAGCTGTCTCATTCTGATGTATATAAATTATTGCATTGCCTCTCCATGTGTACAAAAATCATAATGTAACACCTTTTCATATGATGTGTGATATGGTAAGTCATCACTGATCCTGCTAACTCCTGAATAAATTGTGTGATATTGCACTAGTCTAAATAAACTAAAATTATATGAGTTCTATGAAATTCTAAGAGCTGATGTGGTTTCAGGCTTTGCCAGGAGTTAAAGTCCAGGAACTAACACATTTGATTTACTTTCAGGTCTTTTCCAATGGACACCTTGCCACTGAAGAATACGACGTTCCTCCTCGGCTTTCCCCTCCTCCTCCAGTCACTACCCTTCTTCCTAGCATAAAGTGAGTTTCCTTGGATTTTTTTGTGTCCCTATGTAATATGGGAAAGAATAGTTTTGAGGTTCTAAGTACAGAAACTGCAGGGTAAATAGAAGGGAGTCAGTAAGGACAGAAGTTGGAGTTGGGTTTATGAATTCAAGTATCAAATGTTAAGAGTTCCTGGCTCTGAGGGTAGATCCTACAGACTTACTAAACTCCTGAGAAGACAGATAACCAAACAGCAGTCCAGGAGAGCTTAGCGTATCCTCCATCTGAGGAGAGGACAGAGCTACACAGCAAACTTTTTCCTCCAGCCTTCTTGACTTTATCCCACTTCAACGTCAGTAAAGTTCCCCCAAGTCCCTAAGCTGACTAAAATTCTGTAGGGTCGTACTGCTGGTATGAGAGAACAGAGAGCTCAGGAGGGAATGTAAGTATAAAGAGAGAAGCTTTAGTTGCTTCTCAGATCTCTTCAGCACCCAAGATCTGTGCATGTGTCCTCATGGAATTTTTCCTATCTAGTCAAGCTTCCCATTACTGGGTCAGACTCATAGCTAGACTTTCGAGAATGTCACTAAATCAGCACTCAGTTGGGATCAGTGGATGTAAAGCTGGGAATTTGGGGCACCTCATGCTGGACAGTGAGGTGATGGCCAGCCAAATTACCACTCTCTTTATATTTACATTCCCTCCTAAGCTCTCTGTCGTCTTACACCAGCAGTACGATCCTACAGAATTTTAGTCAGCTAAAGACTCTGGTATTCCATTTCTAGTGCTTGCCCTGTAATTGTATGCACATCTGTCTGGCTTGATGTTTCGGGTGCAGCAACCAAACCCCACCTACCGTGCTCCACCTTTTCTACAAGCTCCATGTCTCAGCCTTTGGTTTTTATAAAACCTAATGTGACTTGTGTTCAATAAGTAATACTGGTTGACAAGGCAGAGATTTCTAGTATGTACTTATAATCCCAGCATTTGGGAGGAGAAGACCAGGAGGATTGCTATGAATTCAAGTCTATCTTCAGAGAGCTAAAATGAGTGCCAGGGCAGCCTGCGATCCAGAGTGAGCCTCTGTGTCAGAAAATAATAGAAAAGACTGATTTGCATTCTTCTTGTTACAAATTATTGTTCTTGATGTAATTATGTACTATAATTTTTAAAAGATTGGATGGTCTGGAAGTCACAAACAAGGTTTCTGCTTTCAAATTCTCCAAGGGAAAATTATTCTAAAGGGGGGAGGGGTTATTGTTTGGGGTTTGTTGTTGTTGTTTCTCTGATTGCTTGATTTTTATCTACTAAGATCATCGTCTTTTATATTTCATTTGTTTCTTTTTTATTTACTTATTTTCTTGTCTCTGGATATATGTTGGTGTCTTATATATGCTACACAAGTACACTCTTTCCACTACATCACTGGCCATGCAAAGATCTTCTGTTATGATTAAAAACCTCCGAACTTCTTTATTCCTTCCCATGGAGGTCCTTGAGTTCCCACTAGATTCATAAAAGAAAGAAAGGAAAAGCTAAATCTCAGCTTCCAGGAATCTAATATACTCTAGAAAACCATCTTTTAATAGGTGCGAGGTCACAGGAGAGCACTGCACAAAACAGTGTGCTGCTCATTGACTAGGTTTTTTTCATCCTTTAAGAAAAGCCATTAAAAACTGCATCAGGGAAATGTGGTTCAGGGTTGGGACAGAATGAATCACTGCAGATAGGCACAATTAGATACCACAGTGCCTGAAACTAAACCAGAGTGGAATTTGAGATCCTTGAGGGAAGAGTAGAGAAACTGGGCTGAAAGTCTATAGGACACACAGCAGTTAGGAGCAGTTACAAGTACTCCATGATTGAGTCTAAGTCGGTGAGAGCAAACCTGATAGTGTAGTAGTTTCGAGTAAACTCTAATGTGTGCCCATACAGTAAGACATCTCAGCCCTGGAACTTCTACATTCAGGGTGTTAGGAAGCAAATGACTGAGATGATCCTAGTTCCCGATCAGCTCCCCAGCCCTGTGCTTCTTTAATTCATACAGCTAAGTATGAGTAGAGAAAGGTTTGTGGTTTTGTTTATATTTGGTCCTTTTGTAAATTAACATGAACAGCAAATTCATAGCGAAGTGCACTCACTGGTAAGTTTCTAATTAACTTTGTAAAAGTCCCTAAGAACAAGTGATAGTTTCTTTCCACTTTCTAATGTTTCCTCAATATTTTCTAGTTTTTACTAAAAGTATTTTAACAAGCATGTTTATCAGCATATTAGTTTTGATTTTGCATGTTACAAACTAGCCATGGCTCTCAGTGATATATTTTAATTGGTATGTTTCTCTTTCACCCTCCAACTATATCTGTAGAAATTATGTAAAATATATAAAAGAAAAGAGAGTATATAAAAAAATCCTAACAACAGAAATACATACCCAGAATATCAACATGCAAATTTAATTCATGATCCTTTTTAAAATTGAGACTTATTTTAGCATCATCCAGGTCATTTGTGGAGATGACATCATGCTCTCCTTGTCATTTGATATCGTCACACCTAGTTTTTCAGAATATATATACTGTTCTTCCTGAGAAATCATGAAATTCTGACGTCAGCATTAGAGTAAAATCATGTTGAGTTCCATGTTTTACCCTAGCATTTATTAATTGCCGTATTTTGAAGAAGGTTCCCTCTCTGGACTTTTGGCTTCTATCTGGCTCATACGTGAGTGGATATGTTTAACTTAAACGTTACCTAAAGTCTTTGAGCTTCAGCTCCCTGTGCAGCAATTGCTATGAATTATTCACTATATGGTGTTAATTAGATTGGAAATTTTGGTAACCTGAATGCCCTCTGCTATAGCTGGTTGACCGTTTTATATTGCAGAAGCCACTATTAGTTGAACTATCGGCCTTACTAACATTACTAATATTACAATGCTCATAAGACTTTCATTATAGTCATTATATTGTTCATATTATTATTGTAGTATCTGATAGAATGTTGATTATGAAATTGTACTACTACATAATATCCACATAATTTATTATTAATATAGCTCTACTTTGACCTACTGGAGAGTATGGGCCATGTCCAAGGAGCATCCGTCACAGGAGGATAATAGAATAAAGGTCTTGGGAAAACGCATGTGTTCACTGACGGAGAGCTAGGAGACATTCAGATCCCCATTGCCATCTTAGATTCTTGGTCCATGTCCAAACATCAAGCCAAAGTAAAATTACAAATCACTGCCTAAATTAACTTATAGTTCTCACAAATGTTGAAAGCCACAGAGTTTCACATAAGAATACCAAGCTGACAGTGATCTTTTTTTTTTCCAACTATAGTGTTAGAAATAGTTATAAAGGTATGATTATTCAGCATTTGATACTGGCCCTTGATGCCTATTTTCTTGAGACCAGAGGATATCCTGTGAAGTTTCCATTCAGGCTAATCTTCATCTAGGTGATTATTTGACTATTTCTACACAATTTTTAATTTATTTCTGAAAATATGGTATCATAAACTGAAAGTGAAAAAAGTCATTGTTAAATAGATACTCAATCTCCTGAAATTTTTTAAAAATAGTTTCTACATAACAGTATTAACACATAACTATGAATATAAAGCTTTAAGTAAAAACTTGAAATCTAGTTATTTATTATAATAACTTTTTTAAAGAGAGAACAAAAATTCCTTTTATACTATTTTACTTTATAATTTAATTATAATACATATATACTTTACATATAAGTGTAGTATATTATTACATATCTGCTTATTAAATTATATCTGACTAATTTGATTTTTAAGTTTAATGAAATGGAAGATTAAACAATTGAAATGTTTATTGTCCTTGGCATACTATACTATTGAATGAACACAGACGATACTATAAATAATAAGGTAGTGAATACTTCCAAGTAAAACAACACTATAAGAAGCTCGGGAATCATTTCTTTATGCTTTGATGTTTACATATAGACAGTTGTAGTTTTGGCATATTATTCACAAGCTATCAAATACCTTGGAACCAATGCTACGTGGTTTATACTTTCCATAAGGGTTCTCTGTTTTGGGAAGTGGTGACATTTGTTGTTGTTACACATCTCTTAAGTAGATAAGGTAGTAAATGTGGGCTGATCATTGAAAAGAAAATCTATTTTTTGCCCAGCTGTCTAGTTTTTATTCTGTTGTACTCAGTGGAGACTGGGGGTAGGGGGCAAGATCAAATCCCCAACCTGTTTGGAATGGGTGCTCTAATTAAGGAGAAGAAAGTGTTGGATGCTGTCAGCTAGTGGTAATCTCCGGGCGGGAGGAAAATCAAATGTAGAACAGGATAACTACTAACACACAGGCTGTCACTCTAGATGTGGTCCTGGGGAAAGACCTCTCTGAAAGGGGGATTTAAAGCAGAAACAAAGCAAGGGAGAGAGCCCAACTGTCTGTGTGAGAAGCCTGACCTTAGAGCACAGGTGTGCAGCTGATGTAGCTGCCTCCAAGTTAATAGCAAATCTGTGAGATCACTCGCAGTCAAAGCTTAGTCGAAAGCTACAGGCTGCAGCAAGCTCACCTTTTCCTGATAGTGTGAAAAGAGCCCTCAAAATCATTGTAATGCTCATACCAGTATTTGGGCAAATGACTTATATGCTGCAAATACAAGATCAAATATCACTATTTTGTTTTGCTGACTCTCTGGGCATTGGTTTGTATGAATTACAGATATTTTTTGGGGGAGTAAGAACAGTGTAGCACCTGAAACATGAAATAAAATATGGCGGCCTGAGCTTTTATTTAATAAAAACATTTATACCTTTACTTTCTGCCATTAGTGAGTGAACAGAGATCTTCTAATATGACAAGCAAGTAAAATGACATATTATTTAAAATACTTTTCTGTCTGTGAAAGGTTCTGAAAATTGTTGCTCTCTCCTTTCTTTACCAGCACGGTGATTTTCTTCTCTAATACCCCTCATTTTTATTTAAAAGCTTGTAAGTGCTCAGTTATGTACAAAGTAGGGTAATCCTTAATGACCTCAAGGTCTTCCCTTAAACATGTTGCAATTCTAGACAGAAACAGTAAAATAACAGTATAGTAAACACATCAATGGAAGGACATATGCTAAATATATATAGTAGAAAAGGTCAAAGAAAATTACTGAATTTGTTGCCAGTTTCACAGGGATTTTTAAAGACACCAGAAATGCAAAGGGGTCTGCTTTTTGTTTTCAGGGAAAAGTTGATGTCAAGAGTTGCTCCAATTAGGAATGAAAACCACTTGAAGAGAGTGATATTTGAGGTCTGTTATAAAAGTAAATGGTAATGGCGTGTGCAGTCAGTCTGTCCTGTGGTTATTCTGGGAATATTCAGTTCTTGGGAGGGATACGTTTGTGAACCTTCAGCTTTGAAAGGTAGAAGTACTCACCACGTGCCTCCAAAAGTATCACCGTGATGACACTTGACCTTCCTCAGCATCGCGCATGTGCATGTGCACTCAAGCCAGTGAATCAGTGTGAGGTTAGGAAGGCTCAGATAATTTTCAGGTTAAGGGGATAATGATTTTGCAACCTGGAAAAGTGTATCCCTGTGTGCTGTGACTCAGCAACAGCAGCAGAGTGCAAGCGATGGCAGGAATGTGGAGTCATGTAACCGTGTTGAAGTAATAGGGGTAAATGGATGTAAATGACTTAGCGGCTTTCATTTGGAGCCAGCCAAATAGCTTGTCCTGCTTTGTTCCCTGGGATCTTGGAAGAATACAATAAAATGATATATGTCGCTTTAGGTACACTAGTGGCTGGCTGAAGTCTCTATGCCCCTAAGTCTACCATCTAGATAACATATACACAGACAGCGATTCTGTGTCCGTTTATGCTGCCACCTGTTGACTCACACGCTATACAGAAGTTTGTTAGAAAGCATAGACTTCAGGTCGGCTTGATCTCTCTGATTTTTTTTTTTTGTTTACAAGTTCTTTATGATAAAATTTTAATAGATTTTAAAACATAAATCTAAGAGAAAATAGAGAACTTTCTTACAAGACTTTATTAAAATGATAAATGGAAAATACCAGGATGTACTTTTTTATATTTCAATATAAATAGCTTTCTTTATTTCTAGTTATAACTCACCAAAATCCATTTAACCTGATAAAATGTCCAGCTAGTAGATTCTGATGCAGAATCCTTATTATTTGATAAAAATAGTAGATAATTGTTGCCTTTCATATTTACATCAGATACTCTCTGCCTGACAAAAGAATGAGTGGTATTTAGCCAGGCAAGATCTTCTGTCAATGAAGGTAACATCTAGAACTAGCCACAAGAAGTGTGGGTTGTTTTTTAATTGACAAAAAAGCTACATAGACATGATTGCATCATGTACCAAAGGGCTCTTGCTCCCTCTACAGCAGGTGCTGAAACATTACACCTTTTTTTGAACATTTCCTGTGAAGTTCATAAATTAAAATGGTTTTGAATCCGTGTTTTTCTAGTATCTTGAAAACTAGTTGTCTTTCTACCTGTTGGCCAAGTTGGGATTAACAGATTTCTTTTGGACTATGTCTTGGGCAGTAGCAAGGGTTAAATTAAAGCTCATACAGGAAGTCAAGTATTTTTCAATTTTATTTTCTATATCTTCCCAGATACTCAAGTAAAATGCTCAGATTCATCTTGATATTCCATGAGTGTTTTATTCATTCCAGTTAGGTATTACCATTAGGTATCATGAGTTATAAAAATAATGCATTTCAAAGCTTTAAATAATTGTGTCATTATCTGCTTCTAATTCTGAACAGGTATGGTTCTTAATTACTGTAGTGGGAGGGGCTCTAGCACTAGAATTGGAAATTCACAAGTGGGTTAAGTTTCTCTCATTTATAGCTTTGTTTAAACTATAGGTACCAGCCATAGACCAGATTGAACCATTAAAGAACCACATGTTTCCAGTTGGTGTCAGTGTATTCTTATCACTTCTGCCCATTTCCACTACATGGGAGGGAGCAATTAACACTTTAATACCTTGGGTTTAAATAATGGTACACGTTTTATGTTACAGCTTTATTCATAAAGCCCCTTCTTTTTTCATGATTTGCATTTTTTCTTACTGCACCCTTTAAAACCATAGGTATTAATATTTTATCTTAACATTTGAAGATCTTCCATTTCTGTTGAATGTAAGAACAGTAAGAAAACTGCCAGTGACAAAGCAGATTCTTCCTTTTTGTATGTCATGTCAGACCTTCCAGCTATGAGTATTTGTGATGCTTAGCCTAGATTGGATTTTTTTCCCTCTTGGTAGGTGTACTGGTCCATTAGCAAATTGCCTCTCAGAGAAAACAAGAGACACAGTAGAAGAAGATGACGATGAATACAAGATTCCTTCATCCCATCCTGTTTCCCTGAATTCACAACCATCTCATTGTCATAATGTCAAACCTCCTGTTCGGTAAGAAGAGCATCTTTGTACCACCCAGCATCTGCATAAGCGTTGTCATACTGTCAAACATGGGGGTTGTTTGTATGCAGTTCAATAGTATGTGCTTGGTTAAAAGTCCTTTTTCTAGCCTAGCCTATAGTTCCTATATATTTTCTTCATTGCTTTCACATAAAAGATTTTGTTGCCTTCTTCCCCCCAAACACCAAATTACAATCTAATAAAATGAAGCTATACATTACACATAATGATGATTAATTCATACATTTCCCCTAAGATATTTTAATGAATTTCATCAGGTCTGAGCATATATATCATGAAGAAAAATTATTGCTTAGAAACTAATATTAAGGTGCCAGGTCAACCTTCCTTAGAATTTTTCTTCATAATGTAAAGGCTGGAATAATTTGTATTCATTTTCCTTCTTGATATGTAATGTACTTCTACTGAAATCATAAGACAATGGGGGGAAGCCCTAAAGTTACTTCTGTTAACTTCTTTTTTGAGGAAGTACCTTCTCAGGTGAAATAAAAATATAAAGTACACTAGGTTTTATTGTTTTATTTTGTTTTGTTATAGTTTTTCTTTTTCTTTTTCTCCTCATTATAATGGGGACATTCTTGGTCTTCAAAGTGCCAGTCACATTGACTTTTATAAGAATTATTGATAATGGCTTACATGTATTGAATTATCAGTTTGTCTTTAAGCAAAATTGTGGCTTTGCGTGCATAAAATTTAATATAGTTATAATAGCATTTACATAATTTGCATCTTACTGACATGTCAATCTATTAGCTTTACTTTCTGAACTTATTTTCTGAACTTGGGTTCTCCTTGCATAATATTCCTGGAGCTGTGCTTGGCTTAGCTCTGCTTAGCTCTGTTCAGCCACTGTTGGTGGCCGAGCTACCTGGGGCCTCCTGATGGCTCAGGGATAGGAGAGAGATAGATAAGGCCAGCAGTCATCCAGCCCATCTTTACTCAGTGTGCTGAGATCAGCTCAGACCGCCTGCAAGTCCACCCCATCTTTGGAGGTGAAAACACTTCTCAAGTATCTCACCAAGGTAGAAAAAGAAATACTTGGAAAAGGAGAAGATCTATTTTTTAACCAGAGTTGTATCTCAAAAGGGATGCTGGTGGGCAGAGTTACTACCCAGTCTTAGTGATGCACTGCAGCCACACTTTCACTGATTACAGCAAGAGCCAGCTCTCTAATTGTGCTGTCGAGTGGTCCTGAAAAGAAGGTAACAGAGACAGTGTTACACTGGGAGAGCCATGTGCCGACTGAGCTAGCTGAAAGAAAGTCACACCTTCTCATCAAGTATAAACTGCTAACAAATCCCAGTTTCTTTGGCTCTTAATAATTTAGTGTAGTACTTTTTAAATGCTAAAACTGAGCAAGATATTTTTTGTTTCTTTGGGATTCTCATTCTTTTCATGGCTGGAAGACTGGAGGATATGATTTTAATTCATCAAATTTTAATTGTCACATCATAGTGGATGATATTTCATTGGCTAACCTCTTGGATACTGAGAGTCAATTTGAATTATAGCCATCATAACCATCTCCCTACCATTATAGAGAAGTAATAAATCTTACTAATTCCTAAGCGTAATTGTAATGAATTCCTTATCTAATTTGTTCTTGAAAACCAGTGAATGGAGTGTCACCTCGTGTCATCTGCAGAGTACTCCCTCTCCTTAGAACTTCCTTTTCCTGTATATCACTCACTCCCCCTTTGGAACATCAAGAAAAATAAATTGTCAATATGTGGGAAGTGAAACAGTAAATGAATAATTCAATTCAGTTTGAGCAAAATCTATCATCATTATGAAGATTCAATACATAACTATTCTTAAATGAGCCATATCTTGCCCGTTAAAAAGAAGTGGCCACGAGAGAGAATAGAAATGAATTTCAGATGAATCACTCTCGCAGTATCTACTGAAACATCCACTGTCTTCTCCATTATGGATGTGGTTTCACTTTGCTCTAAGAAATCAGAGTAATTCAAAAGAAAAGTACAAAACTTCACTCTCTATGGCTCTGTTAGCCAGCTGTTACTAAGCCAGATGCTAAAGAGCAGCGTGTTCTGTGTCTTCTGGTACACCTACACCCTCCTACACTTATTTCATCCAGTATCGATGCCAGTATCAAAATTACACTTTTTAAGTTAATTAATATTTACCCACATTGTAGCACTTGATGTGCATCCAAAGCCTTTGCTGACATCACTTCCCTAAGGTGTCAGAGAGCCAGCATTTGTTGCACATAGTGGTGAGATACATTCAGAAGGTGTAGGTCTTTGTTCCCTGCAGAACTAAAATAAAATTGTGAAACACTTCATAGTGGTTCTTCTCTTTTAAGGCCTTAGAATAACTTCAATTCAAAGAATGCTTAACAACAAATATGGAGGCTGTTCGACCTTACAAAATTTTTGGTATCGTATACTTCTCAGTCACTTCAGAGCTGTGGTCAGGTGCAACTAAAACCTTACACAGATCTATTTAGGTTTTCAGCTGCTTTAGTAGCCCTTGGCTTCAGTGAGAAAAAGAGAGAGACAATTTTACCTTCAGACGTACACATCTGATTTTAAATTACAGGTCAGTGTAGCTGTATATTGTTACTAGTCCTTTTTCTAGAAAAGACAATTGTTTTTGTTTTGTATTCTTATTACCTTAGTAGGTATGACAGTCCACTCTGTGATCCTCACCTCACAGCCACCATGACTTTTAAATGATTCTTGCCCTCTGGTCTCACATTAGGTCTTGTGATAATGGTCACTGTATATTGAATGGAACCCATGGTACGCCTTCAGAGATGAAGAAATCAAACATCCCAGATTTAGGCATCTATTTGAAGGGTATGTATGGAATATGTTTTCTTTTGCAACATATATCTTTAAGATAGTCGGAACCTAAAGGCAAAGTTCCTTTCTGTTTTCATACTGAGAATACATTAAGATTTTGTGTTATCCTCCAGGAGATGTTTCTGATTCAGCCTCTGATCCAGGACCATTACCACCTGCCAGGCCTCCACCCCGGGACAACCCAAAGCATGGTTCTTCAGTCAACAGGACGCCCTCTGATTATGATCTTCTCATCCCTCCATTAGGTTGAAAATTTAAAAGCAGTTTAAACAACCCCTGACCTGCTCTCCATATCTGCATTATTAGAATTAAGAATTCAGTATAATGCAGACTCTCAGTTGAGAATTTAGCTAAACTTAGTTGGGTTCTCCAGTTGATGGTGGCTCCTGCATTCCTGAGACAACACTCTAACAGATGAACTAATTGCATAGGAAATGGCTGTGAAATTTTAGGCGATTTTCATAGCAACTTCTAGAGTTTTTAAGTGTCTGAATTTTCTGTAATAAGGCACTACTTTTATAATCAGAGAAAAATACTTAACTTAGTTTTTTTTAAGCTATATTTCCACGATATCATCCTTGTGTAACTACAAAACAATGGCCTGGAAAAGCTGGCCATCAGTGAGGAATTTATCATCTTATCTATTCTAGAGTCAGTTCTGTGTCAAGACCCGAGTGTCTCTCACTCCCTTGGCCTCTCTCCAGTGTCTTTCAAGTGGTGGTCTGGAACATTATGCCAGGGCCCTCCAAGTGTACTAATCTGTAGTAAACATGAGCCACACTTTACTTCAGCATGAAGTTGCTAAGCCTTCTTATATTAACTAACTTATGAGAAAGTTTATACTTCGTCCTAGAAAACAAGATCAAGTTCTGTTTAACCTGTTTATAAGCTTTTCTGAATTGTCTGTTAGGCTGCCAGCAATATTAAGTGAACTTTTGTGTTTCTCATATGCACCTCTGACCAGTATTTTGAACTTTCCTATTACAGTGTCTTTGATTTATTGATCAAAGGTTTTTGTTTTGTTCTGTTCTGTTTCTCTTCATGTACTTGAATTCTAAGACCCTCCTAAGTTCCTGTCTACAGTCTTGTTTTCCTATTTGCTTTTCCTCTACACTGGATCTTGACCAGTATAGTGACAGTAGGTCTCTATGATCTAGATGACAGCATTTAATAGAGTCCGCTGTGGGGCTGTCAAAGACCTACATGTTTGCATCTGATCTAGTTGAGTATTTTTGTTGTTGTTGTTGTTCAATATAATAGCCATAGGTGGTTGATGAGCTTCTGTTAGCTAGTCCCATAGAAGTTACAACCTACCTCTTTTCTTGGGCTTTCCTCCGGCTTAGCCTGTGTATCAGTTCTTGCTTACTGTTCTTTCAGCTAAACACACACATTGCTCATTTTTCATGGACATTTATTTATGAACCTGTGGTGTTCCACGTGGTACTAGCACCTCACTGGATGCTGCATTTATTTTTCTTCACTCTTCTCGTAAGTTCTCATTTATGAGGCCAATTAGACCCTTTCACCTGTCAGTCATGAGTGTTTATGAACAGATTTTCACTCCCTTAGATAGTATTTAAGCTCCTTAAGTTTTGATCTTCATATCACTCACTTCTTAGCATGGTGCCTCATATTTAAAGGCTGAAAAAGAGATTTGAATTTAATTATGTGACAGCAAGAGCCTGAATGATAACAAATCTCTCCTGAATCTTCAAACACTTAAAATTAGAAAAATATTTGTGATGATTAGATCAGATACTCTGCATATTTTTGCAAGGCAAGCACAAAGAATGGTAAATTCATTTTACTGTAGTTATGTCTAATTCATTCCACTTAAATACGTGTGTATTTTTATTATTAGAATAGGAAGGTGTTTACATATAGCCTGTCTCACTGACAGCATATTTGATGTACATATTTGAAAACTATATTCAGTTCATTTTATTTTCTTAAAGATCCAAGGTAAGGAAAAACTCTGGTCTAGCAACAAGTTGCAGGGATAAATATGTAGACATAGAGCTACACTACAATATTTTATATATGTTGAATAAACCACACGCACACACACACACACACACACACATACTTACATATATACATGTGAGTAACTAGATTTGGGGCCACCTAAAGGAGATTTCCATTGACATGTTCTTCTCTGGAGATGACAGTTAAGCAAAAAGTACATTCTGTTGCACTTTTCCATGTGCTCTATGTTTTTTTTACAGAAAATCAAATGTTTGGTACGATATAAATGACTTACAGTCCAGTGAAACAAATGGTATGGAATGGTTAGACATGTTCTTTGACGTTAAATTATATGTGCATGGTGTGATTTTTCTCAGGAGAGGCCATGAACTCTCTTTGTGGCTCAGAGATTTCTGTTTGGCTGGTTTTACTGATAATAATTTTCAGTTCAGAGTTCTAGTATACTAATAGCATAAAGGTTACAAAGGGACAGTGAGCTGATTTATAACTTGCAATGCTGCTATTTATAGAAAGACTCAGTAAACAGAAAAATGGTTCATGAGGGGTGTTTCATTGGAGTGTGTGTGTGTACATGCACATGGACATATGTATGTGCACGTGTTTTATATACACTTTCTATCCACACTCCCACAAATCAACCCCATTCTGTAAGTCAGAGAAGTGCTGAATCCAACCCTACAAGTGAACTTACTTGTCGAGTGAAGCAGTAAGGGAAAAATCAGTCATAACTTTTGCTTGATACTGTGTTTTGGTTAATGAAATTCTACTTTTGATGATGATCTTTCTTTAAATGCAGGTGAAGATGCTTTTGATGCCCTTCCTCCATCCCTCCCTCCTCCCCCACCTCCTGCAAGACATAGTCTCATCGAACATTCGAAACCTCCAGGCTCCAGTAGCCGGCCTTCTTCAGGACAGGACCTTTTCCTTCTTCCTTCAGGTAGGAGTGAGTGAAAAGCCAAAGACGTGAGGCTGGACAGATGGCTCAGGGGTAAAGAGCACTGGCTTCTCTTCCAGAGCTCCTGAGTTCAATTCCCATCAACCAGATGGTGGTTCATAACCATCTAAAATGAGGTCTAGTGTCCTCTTCTGGTGTGCAGGCATGCATGCAGGCAGAACACTATACATAGTAAATAAATACATCTAAAAAAAACAACAAAAGAAGAATTTTCTTTTAGAGCAAAGTACATCTGAGATCATGCTGTCAAATTCATGTTAGTGTTTCCTGAGTAAATGCCACACTAGCAGAAAGACTTCTGGCTAGTGAGAGCTGTGGTTGTCTGGTTTGCTTGACACTAGATTGATTTAATGACCAAACATCACAAAGATGGCAGAGCAATGCGGAATCATAATGCTGGTACATGACCCAGTAAACGACTCCACACCCATGCACATGTGGGCAATGCCAATTGAATTTAGTGGGTTATTTAATATTGTTTAAAAAGAGAAATGTAAAGTCAGACTCCAGATATGTTGGTGGGGCAGAGAGTTGAAGGTTGGTAGGAGGGAGTTGCAACTGGGTTGTATATTGTACAATGTGTATGTGTATAAAGTTTTCGAAGCAAAAGAAAAGAATATAAGGACAGAGGGAGCATGTTCTGCATATTATATGGAGCAAGTGATGCCTTCAGATGCCAGCAGAATTCCTAAAAGACGGATGATGGTGTGATGGGCTAATAGGAGAGGCACAGACTTCAGGTTCTCAGTCCCCCATTTCCAGTGAAATGTTTTTCTAACAGTGGACTTTAATATTTTCAAAAAGAAGTGCTTTAAGACCCTGGTTTTATTCAAAGCATAGATTTTATGTCTTTACAAGGTAGCTTTTCTAAACCTTTATGTTATTAACTATTTTAATTTTTATTTTAAGTATGGAGATATGTTGTCTTGAACAAAACGCAAGTACAGTTTTCTATTAGTACACATCTGTAGAGTGTGGAACAGATATAAAAATAAAAAGACTAAAGGAAACCCTCAGCACATATTGGGCAGAATTATCAGAGAAAGGGAACACGCACAGTAGCATGCTGTTTGTATCACCGTCTCCAGTGTCTGCAGTCTGCTCGGGTAGAGGTGTGTGGTCTATGTGCCTTGAAAGCCTTCCTTCTGGACTAGCATTCGTAAAGCTGGCTTGCTAGACATGGAAGTGCATGCCTGTAATCCCGGCAATTGCAAGTTCAAGGCTTAGGACTGTGAGTTTGTGGTCATCCTGGGCTACACCAGAAGATCTTGCCTCAAGTATAGGAACAAAGATTCTTTTTTAAAAATGTTTTCTGCATATTTCCATATAAGATAAATCGTGAGAAACCTTTTAAGTGTTCGGGTTGTTCTTTGCTTCTTCGATACCTTGTTGAGAAACTATGGAGCTGTTAATCTCCTTTCTCCATCCTTACCACCCGGACCACTGGTCTCTGTGTACGACATCTCTCCTTCCCTCTGCCCCTACCCCCACCCCCACCCCCACTATGCTTTTCTCTCTTCTCTTTCTCATCTGGTTTGATAATGTAGAGAGTTTGGAGAGATTACATGAAACACAAACTCTGGTCACCTAACAACACGTGGCGCTTTATATTTCAAGGGGCTGAATATCAAAAGAATAATTTCCAGTTGAGGTTTTCAACAGCAATTGTCTTGTCTAGTATTTGCTGTACTATTAGCACATTCTACCTTCATGCTGCTTATGGTTTCCCAGGATGCAACCTAAGACCAAGTGTCCTAAGGTCCTCTGCTGCAAGCAAGAAATAAGAAGCATGTAGCCACAACTCTTGGATGCTGAGTTTTTGACAGTTTCTGATTAGCATCCTCTACCTTTTCTAATGTACTCACAGTTTAAGCCCTGACTCATGAAGCCTCTCTACAATGGGTTTTTTTACAGCAAAATCAGGATCCCTAAGAGCTTCCAGAAAGTATTTTGTTACATTTTACAAAATGTGTGATTTTTTTTCTAATGAAATACAGTGGCACATTGCTTGTGGTAATTCTTCACTCTAAGAGTAAAACTTGATGAAAGACATACTTACTAAATCACAGTTCAGCTCACTACTTTTAGAATTGTAAAACTGAACAAAGGTATTTGCCCAACTCACTTTCCAGTAGCTACTATGGAAGTCTCCCTGCTGCCCAGTGTTTTTAATTAATTAATGTATTCATAAATTATTTTGCAGTGTTGAGATGAGTTCCTTGAAAAGTATGCCAACTTAAGGACAGAATAGATATCTCATAAAAAGATATGGCATTTTCTCAAAATATTGTATTAAATTTCCACCTCTACACAGCTGAGTCTGGGTACCAGCTTTTCCATTGTTCCAGATTTCAGCTTTCAGACTGCAGAGCTGCCTTTCTGCAGAGAAGCCTCATGACTCCAGTGGGCTAAAGGAAGGACAGCCATGCAGAGACTCAGCTCTGTTCTTCCTTTGTGTTTTCCACCTTGGGCTTTCACACAAGATGTCGTTTGGCAAAATTATAATTCCCACTAACGTGTGTGAGCCATCCTTTATGAACAAGCCAATCAAAGCGTAACAAAACCCAAGTCCTCAACAAAAGCGCCATGATTTCCTGTCCACAAACCCAAGGCAACTGCTGGCATATGAGCCTTTTTCTCTCTGTAACAAAAAGAGAGAGAAAGGAAGCGTCCCTTTGTGTGGGAAGGTTGAAATAGGTATTTCTGCAGCTTCATGCCAGTGCCTGTGCTTAAGCAACAGAACTAGGACAGCACTAAGTCTTTGAGAAGGACTGAGGATGCACACAGTGCCTGACAGCCTTACTTCACCTTCCTCTCACTTTCCCTCTAACCTAGAATTTCTCTTGAAGTGCATATCCAATATTAATATCTCAATTCAATTTTAAAATCTAGTGATGTTATTAAAAATATGTAATACCCGTAACTCTGAGATATGGACATTCATCTGTATAAGTAAAAGTGAAGGAAATGCCATGTGATTGGCAACCACCATGGAAAAGGATGCAGTGGGCATTATTTTACACAACCCTATTGAAACACCATCAATAACGGGATTAATCAGACAGCTCATGCCATCTGCAAGTTTGACAGAGGAATCACATGAATGTCAGCTGTGGTGTCTTTCCCTTGTGGAGGCCACCATGTTCACATGTGAGACGTTCAAGGGCAAGAACTGGACTCTAAACTCTTCAGCTCAGCAGCTGCCTCTGGGGATTTGCTGTAAGAAGGCAGGCAGGACCTACCTATGCTGTAAATTAGACTCAGAACTACATTTTTTCCTAGCAAATTGAACACATTGTGTATATTATATTCTCAAAAATATATATTACTGTATAATTACACATTGACTGCAGCATTTTCAATTTGTGTGTCTTAATCATAAATATGGACATTGGCCTTACTTAGTTTTAAAAGAATTTAATTCAGCAAAGCTTTATTGATTTTCAAATTTCCCTTATCAGAGGACAGCTAATAATTATAACATTCTGTAGTAATTATTCTATATTGTGCTATTCCCTTTGAAACAGTAGCTCCAATTCCATACCTCTCTTCAGGGATCCCCTGTTGTGGTAATTATTTAAAACTGGCCTCTGGTTCATCTGACTATCTAAGCTGCAGCATCTCTGCCTAGCCCAGCTGCCATGTTTCTCGGCCTGAGGCCATGTGGGCGGCCACCAGAAACACCAGCCCTGGCACCCACAAGACACCAGCCCTGCCACCCACGAGGCACCAGCATGGGAGATGGCACTGCTAATCTTCCACTCTGTCTCTGCAAGGCAGGGCATTGCCCAAACCATTCCGCCATCCATGGGTGCCCAGTAAGAGAATGAGACTCTAATTCTTATAGATTAAACAAAGGCTTTATATGTTTGGTAATGATTAATGACAAGATGCCCATACAAAGAGTGTTGTATCCCAATTAGCTAACTTAATTATAAGTTTATAAGTTGTTTCCTACGAGCGCTCTCCATACCTGTGTGGTTCTCCATCCTCCTACATCTCTGCCCTCTCTAGCTCCTCCTCTTCCTTTTCCTCTTCTCTTCCTTAATCCTCCTCTTCCTCTCCTAACTCCTCCCACCTTAGCTCCTCCTACAGTCCCCCTTCTCACTGTCCCTTACCCGGAGAAACTTAGCTTGAAGCAAGGTAGAACACGTCATGATGGAACAGATTCTAACTGGTTTTGCTATTGATTTAAATAATTTATTGTATCCAGTCCCTTTTTAGGTAAGATGGTTTAATGGAAAAACATCGAAAAACTACAATTGTATATTTTGTAGTTCATTTATAGTACTAAAATATATCCAGATTTTAACTTTAAGTTCTCAGTTATTGTCCGGAAATAATGTAGAGATATTCAATAAGCCTGAGAGTTGCCTCTAAGGTGTAATAAACACATACAGATATTATGAAGGCACGATAAAGCTGGTGACAATTGCTCCAGGAAGAGAAAATAAGATAATAATTAGTTAACAACTTTAAGTAGTGCTTACATGTTCTCGTCAGATATTAGTATATTAGTACAAAATACACTATTTTATACTATAGTATAAATAAAACAATACATTAGTGTATATTATTTATATATATATTTATATATATAAATATTTATATATAAATATGTATATATAAATAATATACAGTAAATATATATAGTATAAATAAAATACATAGTATTAATAAAAATATTTTGCCAAATTCAAATGAATACTAATCAATGGACTAAATTATAGCCAAACTATATATACTTATAGTCCATCTTTCTTTATGAAAAGTATGTGTTTGCATGGACTTATTTTTAGTAGTTAAAATTTTTATTAAGAGCAAGTTAATTGCCAAGCAGCCTGATGCTGTATTTGAGTTAGGAGATCTAATATAATTAAGGAAAATCATGCTCTGCAAGGAACTTGGAATAACTTCAGAGATGGCACCAGCAGAAGAAAATAGATGCAGAAAGCGTGAGGGTCGAGGTGATGGCTGTAAATTATTAGTGAGCCAAAGAAGTCAGAGATAATGTTCTTCTCTTCAGACAAGAGTGCATGCTAAGGCCTTAAGCCCATACACTGCTAATTTTAAAATGGTTAGGCCTGTGATCCTTGTGACTTCTGCCAGCACAGACTCCCGTTCTCTCTTTAGTACCACTTGGTGCGTTCTATCACGTATAGTGAAATAATTTTTCAGTCTACAATTCACATTTCACAATTTTACATGGCAGAGTATGAAATTCAAACTTTGTTTTTCATAATGGTGTATTTTTTTCACAGTTGAACTTACTATTCAGTGAGCCAACCTGAGAACTTGGTCTTAGCATGTTTGGGACTATTCCAAGGTAGTGCAATTAATTAAAAATATACCTTATGTTGACAGATTTGTATGCAGATATTAGTTCATTTGAAAATTTCAAGCTTCAGGTCTTTTACAGATTTATCCTGATGATCAGCTTCAGGAGCCCCAGTGATCCACCAGTTCTCCCATACGGCAAAGTGGGCAGCATTTTCTTCGTGTTGTTTTTTCCCATCAGCTTCATTCATTGAAATGCATAGGTCGGGATAGAAATTTGAGTTAAGAAGAGTAAGTGATCTGAAAAGATAAAGAAAGGTCCATCGTCTTAATTTTGGAAGTAAAGGGAATAGCTCTAACCTGAACAAATGAATGAGTTTGAAACTGCACAGTCCTTTGGATATTATCGCTCATGCAATTACTTGACCAATTCATTATCAAAATCTATAGTCTTTAGAAAGTTCACAGAATTCTTTATTCAGCTAGCAAGCAGGGATCATCCTTTTAATTAAATATATATATATATATATATATATATATATATATAAACAAACACGTATATATATCTTTATTTTTAAGATCCCTTTTTTGACCCAGCAAGTGGGCAAGTTCCATTGCCACCTGCCAGGAGAGCACCAGGAGACAGCGTCAAAGCCAACAGAGCCTCCCAGGACTATGACCAGCTCCCTTCATCTTCCGGTGAGTTGGCTGAGAACACTAACAGCATTGTCCTATGTTTTTACAGCCTTTTTCTCTGTAGCCTCTGTCTTTAGTTTACTGCACTATACCAAAGCATTCACTTACTTCTGACGTCCTTCACGTTTGGCTTGTAAAGTGTATATTATAAAAACAACACCCAAGAAAAGTACCTCAAGGAAAGAAAAAGTGAGGCTTAAAATGATGTGTGAACAGTCAGCAAGCTCACAGTCTTTGGGATGCATTCTTTCTTTTAACTTCTGTTTGTCTCATCCAGATTTGAGAAATGCAGAAAATATCCTTGAGCATCTTCCCATGCTGTTTTATTGTTTTGGTTTTGATTTGGTTTGTTGTTCTTTGCTTTTTGTTGTTGTTTGTTTGTTTAATTTCACATTAAGACTGAAGACTCTTTAAAATTCATATCAGTAGCAAACCATGTTACTGTTAATTGTCTATTATGAGGTTTCTGTTGTTGCTTTTGTTGCTCTGTTGTGGCTGGCTGGCTGGCTGGCTGGCTGGTGAGTTGGTGAGTAGCTCTTAGTCTTGTTTTTTTTTTGTTTGTTTTTGTTTTTTAAGAAAGTGTTTCCTGTAGACATCTGTCCTTCCTAAAACCTGTCATTGTCCCAGACTCCATCATTCATTGATTTTCTTGATTCATTTGTCTATCTCTTCCTCTAGTATCTTAACACTAAAACAAGGAATGTTACCTCAGGTTGCTAGAGTTAATATCACAGGCCAGATGCTAATCAACAAATGTTCATTTCTTAGATTTCGAAGCCTCAAGAAGTGCCAGGCGTTTGGTATCTGATGAAAACATACTTCCTTCTTCATCGGGGCCCATCTTCCTACTGGTGTAGTGAAGTGTGGGCTTTTTTATCTGGATATTAATCCCTTTCCTGAGAGGTCCACGCTCACAACTTAGCCACTCTAAAAGCCTGAGCAAGGCATAGAGCCACACTGCCGTAACTCAGCACTAAGAAGCTGAAGCAGGAACCTTACACCATGTGTAGCAACAGAATGAGATACACAGTGGCATAGGAAAGCCAAGACCAGTGTGGCCTACATAGGGAAACCCTGTCTCCAAACAATCTGTTTAAGTGAGACACAATAGTATTGCTGTATCCCAGTTATCCTCCTGGATGTCCAAAGCATAAGTATATTGATGGGGATAAGAAAGAAGATATGTTAAATGTAATACTCACATACATGGTACCCTCTGAATAGTTGAGCTCCTTTGAGTATTATCAGTTGTGTGGTTTTTCCACAGTGCTGTATAGGAGATGTAGAATTCTCCATAAAACCTCAAAGTGTTAACACTTGTATATGACCTGGGAAAACACTGAAAAGCTTAATCCTTTCAGGTTTTGTTCCATGTTGTCTGCCTGTTCACATGTAGCCACTCAGAATGTTCACATCCATCTTTGTATAGACTGTAGTCCCAAGTAAAACAGACTGACAAAGCATGGAAATCAAGGAGGGAAAATATCTGCTAGCCCCATGTGACATAAGAAAGCAAAGCCATTACTAAAATAATGTTGAAGTACACCTTTGGCCAAAGTACCATGTCTGACTTGAAATGATGTATCCAGACCTCCAACTCTGTTAAAATAAAGGTATTCATACACATAGTCAGTCGAGTTATCACCAGTCACTGTTTTCACAGATTCTTCTGTGTGGGCTCCATAACGTGGGTATGGTAGAGTCAAGAGCCTCACTCATGTGCAGGATGTCAAGTGGCGTGGATTGGGGTTAACATTACAATAGAAATCTCAAGAGTTCTTTGACTAGCAAACAGAAAAACATTCACTTGACAGGACTAAACTAGGTTTTCCCTAAGAAATTAAAAAAACAACAGCAACAAAAAACAAACAAACAAAAACCCTGATAACCAGAGCCAGTGATAGCATCAAGTATTTCATCCTACTTCCTAAACCGTTTCAAGTTCTAGCAAAGCATGGGACTGGTGCCCTTTGTTATATACCTGCAAAGCATGAACCAGTGCCTCTGTTCTGACCTGTGTTTGTTAGTGAGAAACATGCTAGTTTGTTTTTTTTCTTACAGGTGTACATCTGTACTAGCCTCTGGATTAGGTGTCTCGTTTAAAACCTGACCTAGATGCTGTATGCCTTCACAATCTGTTCTTGTCAAAGGCCCTTTTAAATGGCTTAACAAGGATTCTGGTTGTGAACTAAAAGAAAAAAAATCTATAATCTCTGAGAGCTACATAACTGATAGTAGCTTACTCATCGTTGAACTATGAGAAGAACAGTTCTAAAGAATTCAGAAATAGTTTTATCAATGTAAAATTATGTTCCTCGTGTCCCCCTGTAAAAACATTAATGTGTGTAAGTGCTATAAAGCTACAAGGCACTTCAAGTGCATTCATTCCTCTCAAAGGAAGTATTTCATAGATTAAAAAAAGTGAATGTTGCCATTGGTATTTTTTACCAAATGATTATGTGATAAAACACACTTATAAAAAAATAAAAATTTCACTGGCGTATTTTAAAATCATGTACTTCTGGATTGGGGCAACTTTTTTTGTTTTTTTCGAGACAGGGTTTCTCTGTGTAGCCCTGGCTGTCTGTCCTGGAATTCATTCTGTAGACTAGGCAGGCCTCGAACTCAGAAATTCACCTACCTCTGCCTCCCAAGTGCTGGGATTAAAGGCGTGTGCCACCACTGCCCGGCAGGAGGCAACCTTTTTGCCCTTAAAGGACTTATTCTTTATACAAGCACATTACTCACAAACAGCTCCTGTCACTAATAGCAATGTGTAAGTTTTATAAAATTTTGATGCTGCTCTTCGCTTATTGTAAATTGTGCTGCAGTTTGACTTCCTTAAGCATTCCATAATTCTTGTTCTTACATGCAGTGTTACCCTTGAAGGAGATTATTCATATCATTAGTAGTTAAAAGGTGTTTCAAGGATGTGAAACAATGCTAAGATGTCCATGACTCACATGAAAGGATTTTATTTGTGAATATACTGAATATAATGAAAATTAAGGAGCTGTGTTTATAAGGGGAATGAGCTACGGTGCTTTGACCTTTGTTTATTATTAGCTTAATGGAAAACTGAAGGACTGTTGAACAGATTGTTATATTAGTAATCCTTTGAAGATTTCACCTGGAAATGATAGTTGCAATTGCACAAGGTGTAGAGATGTGTTTGAGTTACCATCAGTGGTGGGATAAACAGCCATTAACACTCAGTTCTGATTCCATGATGGAAATGTCAGTGTGATTGATCTCTACCAGTTCACCTGGTAGTTAATGCCACTTGAAAACCTTACACGCACGACTCCAGTTCAAAACCTTGGGGCTGAAGTGCTTTTCCATGAAGATCTGAAACACTCTCACAGGCTGCATTCTGTGCATTCCACGCACAGGTTATGCACAGAGTTTATGTGAAGGTTTTTCATCTGTTCATGTTTCACTGAAAACCTTTTGTGAACTCATCTGTTGATTAAACAGTGTCCAAAACTGTAGTGATTCAGCATCACAATGTAAATAGGCTCCAAAATTAATTGACAGTGCTTATATTTGAGTAACAAGATTGTAATATATTTTACAATTTTGTTCATTTTTTGTTCAGTTGAATTCACATTATTTCTTCTAATTATCAACTATTACAGAACATAGAAAACATAAGAAAATTACTAGTCAAAGAGTGTTCATGTTTATTCCAAGAACCGGACTCATTTACTACATTACTGCAAGTCTATATCCCATACTATTTTTAGATGCATATAATATTTATCAAACATTTACTATATGATAGAAATTCTGATAATTATCTTAGGAAGCTAGAAATGAGAATCATACATATCATTTAATATACAAAGTATATTATACATAATTCTATGTAGATACATAGATGATATTTTATATAATGTATATGCTGTTACATACTTTAAACATAGCTGTAATATAAATAAATATGTACAACTACAATAAGCTTAATTTATAGATTAATGAAAAACAGCATGTTTTATTAGTCTGCTAAGAATCCTACATCAACAAGTGTCAGCCCAGTAAAATGTAAGCTGACTCTAACGATTTTAGTAAGCTATGAAAACATTTATTCTTTTATTGTTAATGAAGTTTGTGTTGTGATTTCCTCAGTAGGCAAGCTAAAACCAAGTTAAGACATAATAAAAAAAATCACACCTTTATGGAACAAGGTAGCTAAAGTACTTGTGGATCTCCAGTCTAGTAAAACAGAGGAAGGGCCATGAAGGAACAGCAGTGTCAATAGAGAGGTGGAAGGCACTGGAAGCAATAAACGCCCTAGGACCTCGGCAGAACCCCTGCCAGGGTTCTTGATGCTCTTTCTTGTCTGACTATCCCCCTCGGCATCTCAGTCTTGGTTCGTGAGCAGCTCTTCTCTGTATAGCACAGGGAACCTCGGCTATTTAGCTGTGGTTCTGTGAATTGCATGCGTGAGCATGACATACACATCAGAAACACAATGTAGTTACCAATAGTAAGGAGAGAAATCACTTAGAGCTGTGACACGGGGGTGTCCCTTGCATTCCCAGTTGATTTTTGTCCCGTGGTAAAGATCAACCCTCTCCATGTGATACTGGATTTTCCCAGCACCATTTCCGAGGCATCCCTTTCCCTGTTGTGTGATTTTAGTGACTGTGTAAGAACTGGTTGGCAGCAGATGTGTAGGTTCTGATTAGTTCCATTAGCTTCCGAGTCAGTCCATCGTAGAGTCTGACTCTACAATTCATCTTTTAGTCTGGTGTGTGAAGCCTCTGGCTTTCTGCTGTCTGTTCAAGGTTACTTTGGTTCTTTGAGATCCCTAAAATTTCGTATGAATAGTGGAGTTTTTTTCCCACTCTGTGGATATGATCATGGGTATTTTGACTGCAATGTGAATCCACAGATGGATTTGAATCTATAGAATATTTTATTATATAATAATAATATATTACAGACATTGTATTAGTAGTCTATATGTTCATGGATATGGAGAGATTTCATTTTTGTTT